TCCCAAGGTCCTGGGATCAAGCCCCGCATCAGGGTTCCCTGCCCTGCGGGAAGGCTGCTTCTCCCTCTTCCACCCCCCCTGCTTGCGTTCCCTCTCTCGCTGTCCCTCTCTCTCTGTGTCAAATAAATAAATAAAAATCTTTTTAAAAAAATTTTTTAAAAAGAAAGAAAAGAGGAATTCAATGAAAGTCCATCTCCATACTGAATGTTGAGACCTCCAACCCTCTTGTCTTATTCAGCAACCAGAATGTCAAAAGCCAGATTGAATATTCAGGTGGGATGCAAAAGAAAAGACCTGAACATACAGCCATTAGAGGGTCCCCAATATAACAGCTGAGCCAGCGAACTTTACAATAAGGTTAATAAGTAGTACCATGAACTCAAAGCTCCCAATAAGCCTCACTCTTAAATATGAGCAGAGGACCAATGACAATCAGACATGAGTAAAGCCAAGAAAAAGAAAGAAACTTGGAGAAAACAGACACTTCGGAGGGGGGGGCGGGAAACAAACACCTGCCTTCAATATCTTTGGGGAAGGGAGAGAAATAGCACATCCACGAAAAGATATGCTATTTTTTTAAAAGGAATATTCAGTTCTTTTTAACTGAAAATTTGAAATATAACAGAATTAAAAACTTAATAAAAGGTTCAAAAGTAGAAGAGAAGAAAAAACTAAATCATACATTTCATATGTTGACCAGTCCCAGAAAGAAAGTAATAAGAATATTTTCAAGAATTGAGGGACAAAAGTTTTCAAAGAGCCCACTGAATGTCCCACACCAAGAAGTATCATCATGAAATTTCAAAATAACGAAGAAAAGAAAAAAAAATAAATCTGAAAACCCTCCAGAGTGAAAGAAATGTTTCAAAACAGAATCAAGAATGAGAATGGCACTGGATTTTTCAGTCGCAAAACAGGAAGAAAACAAAAGAGAAATGTTTTCAAAATTAGAAGGAAAATAATTCCTACAAGAATTCTATACCCAGTCCGGCACCTGGGTGGCTCAGTCAGTTAAGCGTCTGCCTTCGGCTCAGGTCATGATCCCAGGTCCTGGGATCAAGCCCCACATCAGGCTCCCTGCTCTGTGGGGAGTCTGCCTCTCCCCCTGCCCCTCCTCTCACCCGATCTTTCAATCCCTCTCTCTCTCCCCCCCAATAAATAAATAAAATCTTAAAAAAAAAAAGAATTCTATACCCCCCCAGTCACACTAAGTGTAAAGAGAGCAGAGGTTTTTCAGATATGAAAAGTGTCACAAAAAATTATTTTACTTTCCTCAAGAAGCTCCTGCAGGAAGCATTCCACCAAAAAGAGGAAGTAAACCATAATAAAGGAAGAGATGGAATCCAGAAAACAGGAGATTCGACATAAAATAAAGACAAATGGATTCCTCACGATGAAGGTGAAGGGAGATGACAGACTGACAGCTATGCAAAAAGTACAAAGTCCAACCTCCAGCCATGAAGCAAGTCAGAACGTTCCAAGAAAATGGTGCAGGGGCTATGGAAGACAGTCTGGCAATTCCTCAAAAAGTTAAACATAAAATTACCATATGACATAGCAATTTCACATCTAGGGATATACTCAAAAGATTTGGAAACAGGTATTCAAACAAATACATGTACTCCAATGTTCACAAGTGCCAAAAGGTGAGGTGAGAACATCCCAAGTGTCCATCAACTAATGAATGGATAGACAAAATATTGTGTATCCATACAATGGAACATTATTCAGCCATAAAAAGGAGTAAGGTAGTAATACATGCTACAACATGGATAATCCTTGAAAACATTATGCTGAGTAAAAAAAGTCCAGACATAAAAAGTCATATTGTATCATTTCACCAGCAGTATCTATATCCCCTTATCCAAGGGGGATATGTTCCAAGATCCCTAAAGGGACGCCTGACACTGCACATAGAACCAAACCCTATATGTATTGTTTCTTCCCATACATTCATACTTATGATAAAGTTTAATTCCTAAATTGGACACAGTAAGAGATTAACAGTAATCACTAAAGTAATAAGAACAATTATTACATTACATTGCAATAAAAGTTATGTGAATGTGGTCTCTTTCTCTCTTGCCCTCTTCAAATATCTTACTGTACTGTACTCACACTTCTTGTGATGATATGAGATGATAAAATGTCTAAGTGATAAGATGAAGTGAGGTGATGTGAGCACTGTGACATAGCATTAGGCTACTACTAACCTTCTGATGATACATCAGAAGGAGGATTATCTGCTTCTGGACCGCGGTTGACCGCAGGTACACTGAAACTGCAAAAAGCAAAACTGTAAATAATGGGGGAGCTACCGTATATGAACTATGCAGAATAGGTAAATCCACAGAGGCGAAGGTAGTTTGGTGGCTGCCAGGAGCTGAGGAGAAACAGGAATGGGGAGTAACTGCTTAATGAGTACAGAGGGGTTTTTTTGGTAATGAAAAGGTTTTGGAATAAGACAAAGGTAGTAGTTGCACAACGCTGTGAATTGTACTAAATGCCACTAAATTATGCGCTTTCACATGGTTAATTTTATGTTAAGTGAATTTTACCTTGATATTTTTTAAAAAGAAAAAGCTCCTAGAGAGCTCCAAGAAGACGAAATTGATAGAATGAATACCTAATACATTTTAAACATATTAAAATGAGATGTTAATAATGGAGGCAAAATTTAAGAATGAATTAGCATTAATACATAGAAAACTAAACAAGAAAAACTAGAAACCCTAAGAAAAGTAATCATTTCAGTCATGTGTAGTATTTAAAAATTATAGTAATTAAAATATGATTATTGATCTAAGCAGAATCATAACATAATTATATGGGTGACGGAGATAGAAAATATCCAAGTCTGTGGGAGAGGGAGAGGGGTAAAAGAACCAGCTCCTAATCTTCCACAGTTCAAATTCAAAGAAAAATACCTAAAAATGAAAAATTTTAAAGTAGAGTACAAAACCACAGAAGACCCCATATAGCCAGTGCAATATTGAGAAAGAAGAATAAAGCTGGAGGCACCACAATCCCAGATTTCAAGATATACTACAAAGCTATAGTAATCAAAACAGTATGGTACTAGCACCAAAATATACATAGATCAATGGAACAGAATAGAGAGTGCAGAAATAAACCCACAATTTGACCATAAATGGTCAGTTAATCTACAACAAAACAGGAAAGAATACATAATGAGGAAAAGACCATCTCTTCTATAAATGGTGTTAGGAAAACTGGACAAAACGATGCAAAAGAATGACACTGGACCACTTTCTTACACCACACACAAAAATAAACTCAAAATGGATTAAAGACCTAAATGTAAGACCTGAAACCATGAAACTCCTAGAAGAAAACATAGGCAGTAATCTCACTGCCATTGGCCTTAGCAACAGTTTTCTAAATATGTCTCCTGAGGCAAGGGAAACAAAATCTAAAGTAAACTATTGGGACTACACCAAAATAAAAAGCTTTTGCACAGCAAAGGAAACCATCAATAAAAGAAAAAGACAATGTAGTTAATGGGAGAAAATATTTGCAGAAAAACAGGCAGAGGAGATGAATGGACATTTTTCCAAAGAAGACATCCAGATAGCCCCCACAGTCCATTAAGCATCCAACTCTTAGTTTCAGCTCAAGTTGTGATCTCAGGGTCATGGGATTGGGCCCCGTGTCGGGCTCTGCTCAGCTCAGAGTCTGCTTAAGACACCCTCACCTTCTCCCTCTGCCCCTCAACCCCCCACACTCTCTCTCTAAAATAAATAAATAAATCTTAAAAAAAACACGCACAATGAGATATCACCTCACATCTGTTAGAATGGCTGGTATTAGAAACACAAGAAATCACAAGTACTGTTGAGGATGTGGAGAAAAGGGACCCCTCATGCACTGTTGGTGGGAATGTAAATTGGTGCAGCCACTGTAGAAAACAGTATGGAGGTTCCTCGAAGTAATTAAAGACAGAAACACCTTACAATCCAGTAATTCCACTACTGGGTATTTACCCAAAGAAAATGAAAACACTAATTTGAAAAGATATGTGAACCCCTATGTTTATTGCCATGTTATTTACAATAGCCAAGATACCTGGAAGCAACCCAAGTATCCCTCAATAAATGAATAAAGAAGATGTGGTATATACATACAATGGAATATTACTCAGCCATAAAAAAAAGAATGAGATCCTGTCATTTACAAGGGTAGTGACAGACCTAGAGGGTATTATGCTAAATGAAATAAGTCAAAGACAAATACCATATGATTTTACTTATATGTGGAATCTAAAAAATAAAACAAATGAACAAACAAAGCAGAAACAGACCCATAAATACAGAGAACTGGTGGTTGTCAGAGGGGAAGTATGTGGAGGAATGGGCAAAATGGGTGAAGGAAAGTGGGGTATATGGGCTTCCAGTTATGGCAGGAATAAGTCAGAGATGAAAGGCACAGCACGGGGAACATAATGAATGGTACTAGAGTAGCATCGTATGGTGACAGACGGTAGCTACACTTGTGCTGAGCACAGACCAAGCAATCAAAATTTAACACTGTGTGTCAACTATACTTCAATTAAAAAAATAGATTAAAAAAAAGTAGAAGTGCTGGGGCACCTGGGTGGCTCAGTCATTAAGCGTCTGCCTTCGGCTCAGGTCATGATCCCAAGGTCCTGGGATGGAGCCCCACATCGGGCTCCCTGCTCTGCAGGGAGCCTGCCTCTCCCTCTCCCACTCCCCCTGCTTGTGTTCCCTCTCTCCTGTCTCTCTGTCAAATAAATAAAATCTTGTAGAAGTGCCAATGCAAGTTTATTACTTAAAGCTATGGAAGTAATCACTGAAAGAAACAATTACAAGAGTTTTTAAAAAGTTGCCTCTGGGAGTGGGAAATGAAAATGGGGGTGTAATGCCACAAGGAATTGCTATTTTTGGTAATAAACTTAAAACTAAAAAGGAAGTGGAGGAGAAAAGGTATGTATTTACACCAGTTAGGAAAACTAAGCTCACCTGGAGAAACTGTGTGAATTCTGTGTAGTTAAGATGCTTCTTCCGATTATGCCCAAAATGCAGTCGGATAAATTCACAGTCCCAGTTAAAAGGGATATGATGATGAATAATAGTCTGTCCAAAAATTTCTTTGACATTTTCTTAAAAGGGAAAACAAAAATAAATAAATTATATCTGGAATAAGTAGTTTAGTCCACTGCAATGTTCCTACAGAAAGAAATTAAGAGAAATTTCAAGTCAATATTATCTGCTTCTATTAAGATTAGCTGCAAAAATTTTTGTGCCCAGAAACCCATGCACAGGAACACAACTGATACAAAATATAATTTTACACTTAAGATTGTGTACCATTACATATAAGGCCACGAGATTCTTAATTTCTCTTGATTTAATTTTAATTAGGAAGTGATTTATATCTTGCACTATAAATGGCTGCTACTTTGCATTCCAGTATAAAATCAATAGTGTTTTCCCGATTCCTCAAGGAGTCGAATTAAGCCCTTTATCAGAAGCATGAATACCTAAATTACAGTATAATGCAATATTTGTCATACTAAGTATGGTTTGATTGAGGCTTGATTATTACATTCACACTAGCCTGAATGTCTATTGAAGATAGGTATAAGAAATACTACCAAAAGCATATCATTAGCTCAGCAGCAAGCACCTTATTAAAAGCTTCTGATATTGTCAAAAATATGGTCTTGACACAAAGCTTCAAAATCCCCATAAAAAGCATGATTATTAGTCTCAACTATTAAAAATATTTTAAGATAAGTGAAATTAGTGATTCACTTTTAAATAAAGAAGGACTAAACACACTACACTAACTTTTAGATAGGAACCAGTCAAGCTTGTAATATACAACCAAAACCCTATGACAGCTTGTCTTCATGCACTAACAACGTCAGTCACTTTCTTTACACAGTTCTACACTTACTATAAAAGTCAATTCACAAATGACTGGTACTTTAACAAGCATAGACTGGATAGCCTAATTCAGAAGCTCATGCCAAAAAAAAAAAAAGAATCATTAGCAAAGTTAAGAAAGCAGGAAGCCTATTTTACTGATGTCTTAAGAACAAAATTATTTTCAAGTTTATGCCAATTATATTAGTGGAAGTGTTTTACCATCCATAGCTATCAATTTTACTAATTAGTAAAAGTTTAATGTTTTATAATCTCCAACTATACTCTTTTCTCTAATTTCTGCAAATTCTTTGAATAAGATACCGATCTCACATTGTAAATGGTTTAATGGATTCCCTTTAGTTTTATGTACCTTTTTTTCTTGAAAAAAGCACTGCTATTGGGAGAAGGTGGAAGAAGGTAGAAGAATTCTGAACTGGAAATCCTACCAGTCTGGACTCAGTGTAACAGCTCCGAATAGGTCACAGCTATCAGTAAGTTGGAAGAAGGCATTGGATGTCACTGGGGAGATGGGATTCTCATCTTTCCTTTCAGATGGAATGTAGCATTTATTTCTTGCCTAGTTAGCAACACTGTGTCAGAGTTTTCAAACCATGTTAAATTATTTTCACCTTCCATAAACCCATATTAAATATATGGGTTTTTGTTTCTAAAAACAAAAAGAATTAACTCAGTAGCAATTCATGGGATCCTGGCTTATAACCAATACAAAAGTTTACCCTTAAATCTACGTGGAATTTCAGCAGTTGTAAAATATGTTAAAGTTTACAAGGTCGTGAAAATAATAAGGGTTACAAAAAATATTTAGAGCTAAATGAGAGATCAGCAAAGATTTTTTTATAATCTCCTTTAATTAACTAGCTGCTCTATTCCCAAATTAATTAAATTTCTTATTTTTAAGGTCTAACAGAGTGTTAAACTAAAGAAACATGAAGAAATTAATCAAAAGCAGAATAACTTGTTACGACATATATTTATTTTAAATATTAGGAGTATGAAAGAGAATAAGTTATTTTATGATAACCTTTATTTTAAAGGTCACAAGTCCTAAAACTCAACTATTTAATAAGAAATGTACATACTACTACCTAGAGAAGTTTTATATAACGGTGGAATAAAACTGAATTCCCTTTATATAATCAGAAAATATTAGAATACTAGTGTGAACTAATCAAACACAAAGATTCAAAAGCTTTCAAACTATGAAAGTTTACTTAATTATGAAAACTGTTTTCTACTCTCACAAAATGGATACTTATGAACCAAAACTACAATGTCTGATTTACATTCAAAAAAAGTTCTATAATAAAAACTTTAACTAGGGGTGCCTGGGTGGCTCAGTCATTAAGCTTCTGCCTTCGGCTCAGGTCATGATCCCAGGGTCCTGGGATTGAGCCCCGCATCGGGCTTCCTGCTCCGCAGGAAGCCTGCTTCTCCTTCTCCCACTCCCCCTGCTTGTGTTCCCTCTCTCACTGTGTCTCTCTCTGTCAATAAATAAATAAAATCTTAAAAAAAAAAAAAACTTTAACTAAAATCCTATTTTGTAAACTTCCTAACAACCTCTAAATAAGATCTTGGAATATCTTTGAAACAATTCAAATGATAGCTCAAATTACTCAAAGTAATCTCCCCAAATACTGAAGTGTCCTTTTCTATGAGTATTTGTTTCAACATTTCCTACTTCTCGCAAAGTGGTCATTGACAGCTTTGTATATGGTTTTATTATGACCATTAATATGTGCTGTATTCTATTAACCACCCCCCAGACACTTTTAATTATTTTAACTATGTCACAGGCTACAACTATAGTTACTAGGAATAACAAAATTTCCAACCTACTTTGGCACCTCTTGATGTGTCCCACTTCCCTTCTGTTATTATTGTCACTACCAACTGCCTAAGGCTAATTCAAGAAGCTTACAAAAATAATTAGTACAACTATTGTTTTAAGGTCCAATTCATAATTACTACTTTACCAGGATGTGCTTATCAAAAAAAAAAAAAAGTTATGCAAAAGCTCCAGAACTGGGGAGCTTCTACTTGTGTGAGGCAATAGCTCAGTTTTATCAAATTCTGCATGACATGAAAGGAAACCCCAGTAATCTCAAATATTCCCAGGGCATCTAACTGAAACTACATAGCAAGTTTTCCCCCCAGAGAGAATCCCGTCTTTCCAGTGGCAAACAAGGGTCTTTGGTTCTAAGCAGCACTCCTTGGAGTGCTATTTCAGTGGCCATAGTTCTGGCCTGGATGAAAGAGCTATGACGGTCACATCTTATGCAGCAAGATCATGATCTAGTGTTTTATACTAGGCTGGTTTTGCTATGGGATATAGGAATCCATTCGTTTTCTGACATATAGGAAAGAGTAGACCACTTTTTCACTTCCTGCAGAACATGGGCTTATGAAAGAGATTTATAATTCCTCTGAAAAGGGAATTGGGGACAGATACAAAAGTAGCCTGTCATATGTTCTCTTTGCTCCTTTGTCAGAAGGGCAGGTAATGGTGACAACTGTGATTAAGTAAAAATGTTCACAGACGTATAACATTAGTCAGTTTAGCTGTATCAGTCACTTATGATAATAGGACTAGATGAAATACACATTGAAGCATATATATTATGTAAATATGTCTTAATAGAGGTTTCAATTTCCCCGACAGCCCACACTGTGTCTCCCCGTCTCATCCACCCTCATCCCTCCCCTGGTCCTTATGGGAGCTTCCTACTGGTCTTGTTCACCTTTCTGCAGTACAAAATTACCTCTGACCGGGGCTGGCACTCTTCTCCAAGACTGCCGCCATGCCTGTTCCATGAATGAGCCTGGAAGGAGCTGCTGTACCAACGGTGTGGCCAGAGAACTCCTCCTGTAGGTATACAAGCCATCAGCCCTGTGACACAGCCCACCTACCATCAGCCCAACGACATCCTGATTCCAAGGATTCCAGCCCAGCAGGAACCACTGCTTCCAACTTAATAGGCTTGAGACCAAACATTTTTATTGTCAAGGGGAAAAAAAAAGTCCTCAATAGCTGAATTTCACCTGCACAGTTCTTAAAGTGAAGTCAGAGAGGCTTTTAGAAGGACTCCCACCAAAACAATGAATTCCTTGTGTATAACTGAACAAAAACAATGGCGAGACTTGTGGAAGTAAAGAGTTTTTCAGTGAAGGAAAACTTGGGGAGAAAGAAGAGGAACAACTAAGAGACCAAAAAGGAAAACAAAGGAAAACAAACAACAACAACAAAAAGTTCAACAACAGGAACTTAGCAGAGGAAGTCCCAACCAACATAGCATGTACTCAGTTCCAGACTGCTAGGTTCTATTTCCAGGTAGGGCATTAGTTTCCTAGGTGACTTCCTCTGTTTTTCCAAGCAAGAAAGTATTTCTATTAACCCTTTACCTACCTCCAGAAGGGACTACCACACAATCAGTCAATAAAGTAGTCCTTCTGCCAAATACATGTGAAGGTCCATTTCTCAGGAAAGATAAGTTTACATTTAAAGAGCATCTATTACTATAGAAACTAGATGCTTCAAGAGTCTATCACCAAATGGCATAAAAACTAATAATGCCATATCCTTTTTTTTTTTTTACCTCAAACTAAGCTACTTTAGTAGCTTTGAGTATTAATACGACCTTCTCTGTAGTATCTGAAAGGAATCTCAAAATTCTTCCTGATTTAATTTGAACACCCAAGTGAAGCTCTAATTCTTACCAGATTAAACTAGGTATTTGTTACTATTACATTTTCATATTACTCCATGTCTACAGCTTTGTTTCCATGAGAGAGGGTACATTTTTCATATCTAGACTTCCATCTCCTGAACCTTTTAATAAGTCGTGGTTATGCCTAAACCAAACCCAATCTATTCTTCCCTTCATAGAAAAAGAGCCTATTTTAGAGGCACAAATGGAACACATATTTATTTATTGTATCTAATGATGACCAAACAGTATAAAATCAAAAGGAATCCCGGCTTTTTGAGGGTTTTACAGTGAGGAGATGAAGATAGGCCCTTAAAAAAAAATTCACTTTGAAGAGTTCCCATCCCTAGGCAAGCAGTTTGGAACACAATGTTGATGAGATTTTAATAGAAAACTTAGACTGTATAATGTATCTTATATTCATTTATTAGTTAATAGACAGGATTTGGGTTTCATTTTTTTTAGAAGGATTACATCTTTGTTAAACCAATAGGCTTTGATTTTTTAAATGTGGGACAAATGCATGGCAGCTACTGAGAACACAATGTAGTATACTGGTTATCTAGGTTACCTTAACCTAATTCTATCGAGCAGAATATCCAGTACACTAGTGGCTAGCAGGGACACCAAGGCAAGTTTATAATGTATCTAGCAAACACCAGTCATGCAGCGGCCTCTACAAGGCTCATGCCACCAGGCAGTAACAGATACACAAGCCAATAAGTAATTATCCACAGCATGCATTAGAAGTTTTAATAAAAGAACATCGAAGAGGAAACAACTAATGGTTTTATTCACTCTTTTAAAAATTCCAGAACCCTCTCCTGAGCTTGCATATTCTGAAATGGATTACTGAGGTCTCAATGTAAGTCCTCTCCCCCAAAGTAGATGCATCTCTAACAATTAAAAAGATAAAACAAAACTTTTCCAGCACTCAAGTTGTTCAATATTTCTATTTATATACTTCCAAAAACATACACATATCTGATGTGTATTAAAAAGCATATCTAAAAAAAGCATAGATGAGAATAAAATATACAAATACACAGATAACATCATCATCATAGTCCACAAGATATCAATGGCATAACAGTTTTCCCCACTCCATTACACCTGGCATCCAATATTCTCTCCCACCTTTCTCTCCTGATGGGCTCAAGAGAAAACTATAAACAAGTTCCAAACTAGAAAACATAAGGCCATTTAGTGAAAAGGATTTAGAGTTACTATGGATCTAAAATTTCCTTTTACCTAAGCATTTATCTATAAATACATAAGCATAATTCATTTTATTAAGTGGATACAAACATGAAAACTGACCTTTATCACAGATCCAAAATCCTATAAAAATAAACTCCAAGTTAATTATTTCCTTATGCTGAAATTCTGTCGTCTTGAACAGCCTGTAATGAGTAGGCCTTAGAAATCTTGTTAAATGGCATTTGTAACAGTTTCAATGCTTTTCCTCCTAAAAATATAAAATTAAACTTCCTCTCCTTCATTATGATTTTTATTTAAGAAAATTTGTCCAAAATGGATCCTCAAAACTAGGGAGGCAAGGCATGAAGGGAAAATGGTTATGGTCTCCAGGAAATATGTGAACATCAAGACAATCATCCAGCTGGCCAGGGACTCCAAGAACAATGTTGAAACGGCGTTCAGCTTTCTATCATTCCGTAAGAATCTTTCTCTCTATATATTATGAAGCAGAAGAATGAAAGCAGAGTTTTGGAGGGTTTATATGCTCTTCAGTTCATATCAGGTGTTATAACAACGCAAACTGGTTTGTTTGGCTTTTAATCTTAATTATATTTTCTTAAAATTCTAACTCATACATCATAGTCTGGGGAAAACAAAAGATCTTTAAAATGCTAAAGTTGGGATCTAATAACTACAAGCTTTCATTTGCACGAAATAAATGTGTTTATAAACCTCTCAGCTATTTTCTATACTCATTTTAATCTACTAATCAACACTGGCATGAGTCTCTATTGTATGAAATGACTTGAGTGACTTGTTTTTTAAAATAAAATTGGGAAAAGCAATCAAATTGAGGAGACACAAAGAACCAAGGTACCAAGGTAGGAGGGACAAAAGAAACCACAATTTGGTTTAGGGAAATCTAATTCTTAAACAATGGACACATGCTAGAAGCACAGGTATGCTGTTCTTAATGCAGATATGTGTATCAAGGTATTTCCCAAGCACTGCTGCACAACATTTGGAAGTGAGACATGTGAGAATATGTGGCACCTACTGAAAATAGAAAATGCAGCATTATTAGTGGTCCAGGGTAAATGCTGAATGATGAGATGATAAAGGTTTTATACATTAAACTAGAGAATCTAGGTGCTTCTGGGGAAAGTCAACCTTCTTTAGGAGGCAGAATGGCCAGAGCTTGCACCAAAGCTGGAAGCATGCCAAGAGAGATGCAAAAATCTAAGGAAGTTCTGTCTGCACTTGTATTTATTTGGGAAAATCTTTTTATACAGAAAATAACTGGGTCAATGGGCAAAAGGAAACAGTCAATGCCAAGCTAGAAAATATGCCCACTAAAACCAGAGTAAAGGCATTACCAGTTCTGAATACCTATACTTTCTCTCTTTCCATGGCAGTGACACTTCTTCCTTTGAGTTTAACTGAAGGATGCTTCTTATGTAACAAATACTGCAGTGAAAAAATATTTAGCACTATAGTCAGGGAAAGCCTGATTTTCAAGAGTTTTTCTATCACATATTGATGCCAATTCACACCATAAAAGGACTCAAGCTCAGCTTTACAAGGTGAAAAAGTTCTGGAAATCTGTTTCACAACAACAAGAATATACTCAACATTACTGAATTGCATGCTGAAAAATGGTTAAGATTTTATGTGTTTACTACCATAAAAAATGTAAATGTAAAAAAAAGGGAAGAGAGTTCAAGATCCTTGAAAACACTGCATTGATTTATTGAAAAGCCTGTTGTCAGAAAAATTAGCAGATACTTTAAACACAAACTAACTTCCACAAATAAGCATCTTTAAAAACTAACACATGGCTACAAATAGAAATTCTAGTTTATATGCTTGTCAAACAATGACATTGTGCTAAGTTATGTGCCTACCAAAGGATTTGTATCAATTTCTACATTTAACACAGATATCAATTTCAACGTACTAGGCTTGTTTCCTAAAATCAAAAAACTATAATGGGGGTTTAGAGAATGCTAACTATTCTCAACTCCTCCTTCAGTTCCATTCTTGGTGCTACAATGACAAAGCAGCAATTTTCCAAACTGCTATTGAGAAGCTCTGCACTCTCTACCCAAAAATTCCTTAAAGAATGACATGATTATTCCATGTTGTTCACGGTCTGTTTCATAAAGAATTTTGCCCAGGCTAGCCCAGAACAAGAAAATTTTACACCACCTATTTTAGGAATGTAAAAGTGTCAGTGACTCAATGAGCAAGGCATTCCTAGATTCCTTACTTTTCTGCAACAGTCTAAAGCTTTGAAGAAAATACACCATTTTAATTTTATCTGTGTAAATTCTTTTAGGAAATTAATATTGACTAGCTCCTAAATAAGCAGCAATCTATATGCAGTTACTAGATTTAGCATTTAAAGACTAGACCAGCCTTACTGACTTCACTTATCCCTTATAATCTTTTTTTTTCCTTACCAAATGTCACCTCTCCATTTCCACTCTTGTCAAACAATTGGAAAGCCACTATGAACATAGAATCTGGAGCACATAAAACAGATTCAAATGCCAAGAACTCTTGATAGGAGATCAATCTGGAATAAAATATAAAATGTTACTGATTGGTAAAGAAAAGGAAAATATCAGGCATTTAACCTGCCTTTAATATATGCTATAGCTCAAGGTAACCAAATAATTGAAAAAGGGAAATTTCTCTTTATAGAGGTATTCCAGATAATAAAGAAAGAAGGAAGGAATGAAAGAATTAGAATACTACCCTTTTGTGAGTCCCTAATAAATTAAGGGACCTGGGCAATAATCAATCCCTCCTAAAATCACAAAAAGAGAAAGAACTAAACCAAAAATAATTAAATCGGAAGCTGATAAAGTCTCTAGATCATAGTTTCTCAACTGTGGCGCTCAACAGTACCATTTTAAGCTGGATAATTCTTTGTTGTGGGGGCCTCCTGGGCAATATCATGTTTAGTAGCATCCCTGGCCTCTACCCACCAAGTTGCAAATTGCCAACCCACCATGTTAAGACCCACTGCTTTCTATGTAATCAATTTACAGAAAATACAAAGGACAAAGGACATGTTAAAACATCACCACAGAAACACAATCAGCATAAATGCAGACTATAGGAAACTAGAGGGTGAACATTCTGTACTTGGAAAAAAAAAAAAACTTTGAGAGAAGATATGGAGGAGAACCTCATTAAAAACCTAAAATGTATAGTAATCAATTACAAGATACAGATCTTATTTGGATTCTGGGGAATTTAAGCAAAGAAATTTTTTTTTAATTTATAAGAAAAATAGTAAATGGTAATAATGATATAACACAAATACTTGATGATATTAAGACATTGATACTAATGTTTTTGAGGAGGTTTGTTTGGTAATTTTTCTTATCTTTTTGAGATATACCCAGATATTTACAAACAAAATATGTCATCTGGAATTTGCTTCAAAATAATCCAGGGGATGAAAGAATGGGAAGAGGTATAAATAAAACAAACTTAATAATTATTTTAATAATTACTAAAACTTGGTGATGAGGATATTGAATTCACTACACTAGTTTGTTTCATATGTTTGAAATGTCAATAATACATTTTTTAGGGGCGCCTGGGTGGCTCAGTCAGTTAAGCATCCTACTCTTGATCTCAGCTCACAGGTCCTGACCTCAGGGTCATGAGGTCAAGCCCTGTGTTGGGCTCCACGCTAGACATGCAGCCTACTTAAAAAAATTTTTTTAAAGAAAATACATTTTTTATTTTTTATTTTTTTTATTTTTTTTTAAAGATTTTATTTATTTATTTGAGAGAGAGAGAATGAGAGATAGAGAGCACGAGAGGGAAGAGGGTCAGAGGGAGAAGCAGACTCCCTGTTGAGCAGGGAGCCCAATGTGGGACTCGATCCCGGGACTCCAGGATCATGACCTGAGCCGAAGGCAGTCACTTAACCAACTGAGCCACCCAGGCGCCCAAGAAAATACATTTTTTAAAGGAAAATTCAAAACAAAAGGGGAGAAAACTAAAACATATTGAGTCCTAGAATACTCAGGGTTGTGAAATTAGCCAGTGGTCAAAATTATACTAAAATTGTCTTCAATGATCTTTTTTTTGGCAGGGGGAGCATGAGTAGGGGTCAGAGGTGCACAGAGAATCTCAAGTAGGCTCCACCCCCAGCACAGAGCCCAACTTGGGGCACAATCTCACAACCCTGAGATTATGACCTAAGCCAAAATCAGGAGCCAGACACTTAACCAACTGAGCTACCCAGGCACCCCACCTTCAATGATCTTACAGAGCTGGCATATGCTAGTTTAGAGTCATCTTCCATAGCAAGCTTGCTGCAAAGATCCCACACCCTGTTGCTGCTATTGGTGACTAGTATCCAAGTAACAGCATTATAAAAATCTGTTTTTATAAATATATAAATACATATACCAATTTAATTACTTATTTATATTAGCAATGGTGCTGCCTTTTATTCTCAAATGGCCTGGTTTAGACAACACATTTACAGTCACCCTATAGAAAGGAACAGACCTAATCTTCAACATGGCTCCAAGTCCCTCGGGATCTGATCTCTGCACACCTCCCCCTTGTTCTTCTGCACTCCAACCCATTCATTCTTAAATCCATGCTCTTTCCACTCAGGACCATTTCATTCTCCTTGGATTAATCCCACCATCTTCAAACCTTTGCCCATTTAATTTATACCCATCTTTACGTAGCTCAGCTCAAGTTATCATTTCCTCAAGAGAACCATCTCAGAGTCCCCAGATGACTTTACATACCCTTCACACCCCTACAGCAGCACACTGGACATTTTTAGTGCCCCTTGCAAAATTTTTATTAAAGTAATTATGTAATTCACTGTTTAAAGTCTAATTCCCGGGACACCTCGGTGGCTCAGTTGGTTAAGCATCTGCCTTCAGCTCAGGTCATGATCCCGGGGTCCTGGGATCGAGTCCCGCCATCGGGCTTCTTGCTCAGCAGGGAGCCTGCTTCTCCCTCTGCCTGCTCTGCTGGCTGCCCCCCACCCCCGGCTTGTGCGCACTCTCTCTGACAAATAAGTAAATAAATAAAATCATTTTCAAAAAATAAAAATAAAATAAAATAAAGTCTAATTCCCTGCAAGAAGGTAGGCTTGTCACAGAGCACAGGTTTGATTCAGGATAGGAATTTGTAAATATTCTTGAATAAACTCAATTTAGAATACAAGGCTTTTTAGAGAGCCATATTTCTCAACAAAGTATTAGGAACGACTACATTTTACATTTCATTTTATGCCCCCACTCATCAAAGACATATTTTACATTCAAAGTTTCATTTTCTATTAAATAAAATACTTTGAAATATGTTTAAGTTACACAAGTTACATCATATCCAAAGCAATGGTGTATTCTATGCCTTTTCCCTTTATTGAGGAAAAGGCCTTTGCGGTGATATTATTCAGGACACTAAAGACTATGCCTTCACTGCACCCCTGCTGAAGAATCTTTGGTGAAATTAGGAGCTTGATTGCCTAACGAATCCTGGGAAGAAGAATAATCAAACTTTATCAGGTCACAAGTCATAATACACTTCATGCATTGGTGTACTACTAAAAACTATATTAAAACTCAAAAGTGTGGTTATCATTACACAAATTCTAGAGTAGTAAAAACAAATGAAGTTATAACATAGCAGGTATCATCATCCACACACCCTGAAAAAGCAATGAGTAATATGTGGTTTTAATAAGAATATATAACACAAATAAAATAATGATATAGGGGAGGACTTAGAGAAGGCCTTCATTTTCTACACTATGTATTTCTGAAATGTTTGAAATTTTTATCATTATTTAGCATTATTTCTTTTGATTATAAGAGTAATTTAAAAAATAAAAAGTAACTAGGCTGATGATGGATTAAAAAACACAATCCATAACACTTTGGCTTTTCCAAAACAGCCTCAGGAATCTAACATCAAAAATACAAACACCCTGAAATACAGAATATGTAGCCTTCAAACACCTTTCATACTCAGTAGCAAAACTTTCTGTATTTATGAGAAGAGGTAAAAGACTTTTTCCTTAACTAGCAAAGGTTATAAACAGTTGGCTGGCAGACGGAATTTGGCCCCCACGTTTTCTTTGGCAGGCAAAGTATAATTTTTTTAGTTACATTAGTTGTCAACATTAGGAAATCATAATAAGTACTTCACACAAATATCCAGTTTTCTGGTTTCCCTTGTTAAACTGCAAGTGTGGGCAACAGGTTTCTCATCCCATGTAGCACCAGCCCCCTGGAGCCAAAGCAGAAGCCGCCTCTTCACAGAGACCAGGGCCCATCAGTTATCTACACCCACCCTCATGTAGGTTTCCAACTAAGCAGACCTTTGTCTAAAATATAAAGTCTGTGTACTTGAAATATCTACATCTCTTGGGGTGCCTGGGTGGCTCAGTCAGTTAAGCCTCAGACTCTTGGTTTCAGCTCAAGCCATGAAGTCAAGCCCCAAGTCTGGTTCCATACCCATTCTGCTTAGGATTCTGTCCTCTTCCCTCTCCCTCCCCCTCTGATCCTCCCCCTAGCTCACGTGCGCTCTCTCAAATAAATAAATAAATGTTTTTTCAAAAATAAATATATATATATACATTTCTCTATCAGTATATTCAAAAAGGCAAATCCAAAAGGACCTTAGAAAATCTAAAAGTCAAGTGATATGCTCAAAGAAATTCAGCAAGTCAGTGGAAGATTCTCAATTCCTGCCTTCAATTCAGTCTATGTATTCCTTCCCCCTCCCCAAATTTAAAGTTATAGATGAAAAACAGAAAGGGTACCTGGTGTTTGTACTAAGTAGACATTATAAGAAGGTATTGGGGGGATACACAGCCAATCCACAATACTCACAGTTACCTTTGTTACACAGAGCAATTTATTTGAAGAAAGGTCAATTAAGAAATACAAAAGCAGGGGCGCCTGGGTGGTGCAGTCAGGTAAGCCTCTGACTCAGGTCCTGATCTTAGCTCAGGTCCTGATCTCAGCGTGGTGAGATCCCCCACCAGCACGACCCAACCACCCTCCAGGCACAGAGTCTGCTTGAGACTCTCTTCCTTCTGCCTCTGCCCTTCCCCACCACGCTTGTGCACGCTCTCTCAAATAAATAAATCTTTAAAAAAAAAAAAAAAACAAAAGCATCAGCAACTTAAAAATAAGCCACTTCATATTATTCAGCCTTAAAAAGGAATACAATTCTGATACATGCTGTAACATGGATTAATCTTGAAAACAACAGACTAAGTGAAATAAACCAAACACAGAAGGACAAATATTACATTATTCAATTTATATGAAATACCTAGCATAGTAAAACGCATTAGAAACAGAAACTAGAATAGCGGTTACTAGGGGCTGGGTACTGAGGCAAAACAGGGACTCATTGTTTAAAAGGTACAGAGTTTCAGTATGAGAAGATGAAAACAATGGAGGCGATGGATGGTGGTGATGGTAGTACAACAAAATGAACATACTTAATGCCATTGAACTGTACACTTAAAAATAGTTAAAATGGTAAATTTTATTATATATATTTTAATAC